AGCCATGCCCTGTCCCTTGCCTCTCCTGCAGCGGCCCCCTTGCTGCCTGTCGTCCCAGGCTAGGGGTCCTGCTGGTCCCCCGAGGCCTCCTCAGCCCCAGCCTCCCCAAGTGGAGAGAACCTGTTTCCCAGCTCCAGATTGGTGCCAGGAGGAGAAGGAGGCCGTGCTGGCCTCCTCCTCCTGTGGGTGACATACCTCCATGTCTCCACAGCTGCTCCTCCTGTGGCCTCTCCCTCAACCCTTTGTCCAGAGGGGGGCTTCTCCTGGGGGGCCTGGAGAGCTTTCTCGGCCCTCAGGCACCTCACCTCCTCTTCTAGCAGGGTCACCATCTTGCACTGAGGGCAAGTGTATCTCTGCCTCTCCTGGGGGAGAAGGGCGAACATGTCACAGCTGTCACAGAGGACAGCAACACCCGTGACTCCTGCCAAGGCCATCTCCTGGTCTGCCATTGGGATCCCTTCCGAGACCTTACCTTGGTCCCCTGCCTTGTTTGTCCTGCAGTTCCTCTCACTCGCCCAGTTCTCCCAGACAAAAACCCACTTGCACACACACACAAGGATAAAATAAACTTATAAATTTATAAAATAAACTTAAATTTAAATTGGAGGAAAAACAAAGCAATGCACAGCACAAAAAAAAAACCAAAAACCTCTGAGTCCCAGGGAAGGGAGTCCCCAGACAGCCCGGGCTGCAGCTAAGGGATGCAGTCAAGGGACGACGCCAAGAGGCCAGAGCCAAAAGGGCTTGCAGTGGCTCAGCGCAGCCTTATCAGACCCTCAGGCCAGTGGCCCCACCTGTCGGCTTCCTCCTGGCCCCTCTAGCCTCTCTGGTATCGTCCCCTTCCTCTCTGCTGCTCCTGGCCCTCTGCTCCCCTGCCCTGCTCCTACCTTGCCTTTGCCAGTCCCCTGGCCACTCATCACTCGCTCCCAGCGTGTGCCTGTGCTGCTCTGCCAAGAGGCCAGAGCCAAAAGCATATGTTGTCTTGGGCGTTGAATTCTATATTTATCTATCTATCTATCTATCTATCTATCTATCTATCTATCTATCTATCTAATAAAAAATATAGCTCTATGGAACACATTTATGCATCAATGAGATTGGGATCAGCTCACCCCAGGAGAAATAAAGAGCATCTTTATTTGGTTCTGTGATTAGGATCCTCCTCAAAATTTGGTCAGACAACCTACCCTACCCCCATACCCAAAAGTGTGCATATTAAAGAAGACAGCCACAAAAATAGCTGTTCACAATCTTCACAGACAGGCCTCATCTGTATTTTATATGAAGGTGTTCAGATATCTAACTGTGAAAAGTTACTGTAAGAACTTACCCCAAGTTTTTCTGTGTCTGCCATCAATTGCCTAGGTCATGACAGCACTGGAAGCATATTATGACAGCACACACATATTACTTGCAATATGAACCTCTTAATGAACTTACTTAATGAATCTTAACATTTGATGGTTGACATAGCAAGTCATGGGGTTAGTCCTTGCAATATTTTTGTTTTAGGAGGGGTGATTGTCCAATAAATGGAAAAATTTGCTGTTTGCGGATTATAAAGTTACACTTTGCTCTTTTGTACACAGAACCCTCTTTGGCTGAAAGTTGATATTTTGTAGTTTGGTCACATGAAACTCATTTTTTATATGGCTTCTCTAGGTGCCAAGGTGAGGCAAACAAGAAAGAAGAGAACACATAAAAGTATGCCATTGCAAAGGATCAGGGGCTCTTTTTCTTTATTAATTCTTTTTGACATGGAAAATATCAGCTGTGCTACTAAGTCAAAGTATTCTGCACAAGGCTTTGAACTTTTCACCGGCATCAACATCACCCCCTTTGATCTGGCTGTCTTTCTACTTCTCTAATCATGACACAAGAGAAATGTTCCAGTGTTCTTCTACACTTGCAATCAACTGTATTTTATGGTTCTTATGTCATCAGAGAAGCTTCGTATCAGCTCCAGAGAAATGTGTCTGTCCAACAGATGAGAAACAAATCTCTTGCTAAAAAAATGATAATAGAAGAATTTCATGAAGTCTCACATAATGGAATGCAAGAAAATAATTGTCATAGATAAAATGTCCAGGTCTGGGTTTACGAGGAGGCTAAATATACCAAAGAATGCTGTCCAAGCTCAACTGTGAGCCTTCTATGCATTGTGGCTTCGGAAAGGGAGAAGAAGCAAAGGAATGAGGAAATGTGTGCTTTATGGTGTTTGTCTCCACACTTCTCCAACCAAACTAGAATGCATGCATTTCCACCTCTGTCAAGGGCCATTTTGTCCCACACTACTACTGAAGAAGGATGCTATATAGCAGTGATAGAGAACCTCAGGTCCATGGGCCAAATGTGGCCCCACCGAGCGCCAAACCCGCCCTCCCTGGATTCCCCAGAAGGCTACATGCTCTTCTCCTGCACCACCTTTTCCCCGTGGTTGCCAAATGGCTCCCTACTTCTCTGCATTCCAATCTTTCCTATTCTGAACAGTCATTTCAACCTTTCCTATTCTGAAAGTTTGAAATGACCTTTGCTACTGCAGGAAAAAAAACATCAAGTTCAGATAGGCTGGTGTTTTGGTATGTTGTGGTTCTGGCCCCTGCCTTTCACCTTTTGCCTCACCCACCCCTGCGAGATTCTCCGAAATGGAATTTTATCCTAAGGCTGAAGGACATTCCCTGTCTCTGCAGCGTGGCATCCTTCCTCTGAGGCACTGTGGGATGAGATGGCTCCTACCCATGCAAAAGCAGTCAAAAACTGCTTAAAAGAAAGCAGGGAATAAAAAAGAAGATGCCTCTGACTGTTCTCCTGTCGCTGCCTTCTAAATATGTACCAGGTCAATGACTCAAGTGATATGTACCCATCACTAGTACCAGGCCAATGACTCAAGTTGCCAGCTCAAGCTGGTGCCACGATGCTGTGCATCATTGCTCTGTCATAAGAACACTGTAGCAATGAAAACAGTGAAAACTGACAAGTGGGCACGTCACTGAGGTTTCTCTTCTGTTTGCTGCAGAAAGCTTGCAGTCCTGAGCCATTAAAATCAGTGAGGATGTTGCTATTGATTTCCGAGGAATGCGGCGATTATTTCCAGGCTTCCCCTCCCAGGGGACCACATATTCCCCGTGGTGTTACTGGGGCTTCCAATGTAATCTGCAACACTGTATGTCCGAAACCATAATCAAGGTGGAACATTTTATGGGGATCCACACTGAGTAAACAGCCAGTATGAAATGCATAACTCAGATAAAACCAGAGCATAATATTATAACTTAAAAGGCATTGGAAATGTTGAAACATGTTGAAAAGATGCATTAACCACATAAAACAGCAATAATAGTAAAATAGTGATTACCACCAGTTGCCATTCTAGGGTAGGCATTCATAATTTTAGTGGCTTGAGAAATCTGTTGAAACATGACCCTGGAGATCCCAGGAGGAAGGGGCAGAGGGCACTGGGTCCTCCCCTCCCAGACATTTCCTCATTGTTTACTTAACCCCAGTTTGTTCTCTTTCTAAAAGTACCCCCCTGTAACACCTAAATCTGGCTATCCTCAAGCTTCACCAGTGAGAACAATCTACCCCTTTACTAAGAAGAACTGAAAAGACATGAATGACCTCAAGAATGGTATGCCTATGCAGCTCAGTTATACAAAGCTTGCTACAACTATTCATTAGCCAAGAAGAAACCACCCCTCAAAGTTTCCAGGGAAGTTAAGAGTAAAATGAGGGATGATTCACACAGGTCCAGGTGTAGGTAATCTTCAAGGTGGGGTGAGCCTCATGCATTATCATCCCCCTCTATTCATCCTGCTGCTTTTATGCTTGCATGGTTGTTTACCTTTGACTTGGTAAATCACCTAGAAATCTCCAAGTATATGGTATAGAGGAATGCATTAAATAAAAATAGCTTGTACTAAGGACTGGAGAGTGTGCATGGTAGTGCACAAACACCATCTTCAATGAGGGTAATAAATACTGCGGGAAAGACCAAGGCTTCATCCATGTTTGGCCATGTGGAAAACACTCAAGGGACCAGTGCTTGGTTAGAGTGGAGGTTAAGGCAGAATTCTGACTTTCAATCCAGGGTCAAGACAACTCTTTGATCATTGCAGCCCAATGCTGTGCATAAGGGCAATTAGGTTACAAAACAATACAGCTGTATTACTTAAGAAGCTCTGCTCTTTAATAACTGGGACCTGCTTCATTCATAGAGAGACAGAGATAGAAAGCAACTTCCCTAACCTGATGCCCTCCACAGCTACCCTGCAGTGACCCTGCTGGCTGGGCATGACGAGGCTTACAGGCTGGGGAAAGCTGATACAAAACCAACCCTGACATTCCCTGGGGGTATAAATGCCATCCCAGCGTGTATGGCTCCAAGTTTCTGGCAATATCGGAAGTGCATGGTCACTTGGCTGAGCCAAAGCAGAGCTGTGGCGATGCTGCAGGGGCAACACGGTGCCCTGGGCAGCCCTCCTGTGCCCTGCAGCTCCTGGCCTGACCAGAAGACTGTGGGAAGGACACATGCTGCTGAAGAGGAGTAAGGAGAGTGTGGCCCAGCAGATGCTCTTGGACTATAACTCCCATCATTCTGCACCATTGGCTATGCTGGGCTGAGACAGATGGGTATTTGGGTGCAACAACTGGAAATCCACACATTCTCCACTCCTGGCATAGGCACTTACACGGTTAAGATTAGGAGGGGGCCTTTTATAGGTGACCTCTCAACATAAATATTTGGCATTCCAAGTGCAAAGTCTGCATGGATTTTAACCTTGTCAGGAAAGTCTTGTTAGATTGGCAGGGCGTGGTTAAGATCCACTTGAGCCTCATGAGGATCTCCACGCACAGCCTACTGCATGGAGCGCCACCCACGGGTTCCCCTGTAAGCAGCCCAACTTGTACACCGTGGTGTATATGACGGATGCCACACCCGGTTCAATCACCATTTCCACTGACTGAAATCAAGAAATAAAACCGGAGTTCATTGTACCTACCTCAATAATATACAGCACCACATTCTTATAAAAGCAGTACAAGATACATTTTGTAACTCGGTTGTAGCTCCAAGCTCCATGGACAAGTAAGAGTTTCTCCAAGTAGGAAAACTAGAGAGAGAGAAATGGGCAATCATTAGCCCCTACCTCTTTACAAAGGAGGCAAATGCACCTGAGATCGGCCATTGTTACCTCACGTGCACTATGGACAGAGTGCATTTAGTGCAAATTAGTGACATTTCTGCTCACTGCATTGTGGATTTTTGCAGTCACCAAAGGGGACCATGCTCAGAAGGGGCAATCTGAAGCCTACCAATGGCTACTAGTTAATATGGGTATATATTACCTTAAGTAGTGGAGGCAGTATGCTCTGGACACAAGCTGCTGGGCTCCATGAGCAGAAGGGGGCTGTTGCACACAAGGCCTGAGCACGTCCTGTGGGTGAGCGGCCACTGTGTGAACAGAACGTTGGACGAGACCCAGCATGGCTCTTGCAAATCAAATTAGAAATGTTTCCCAGTATCCAGCACCACGCAGGTCTTAAGAAAGGGTGCTTGGAAAAAAGGCACATTCTGGCATGAGCTGCATGACAAGGACCCTCCCTTGTGGACAATCTGTGCACCATAGTTTTCCACCTACTTAAGCCTTCTAGGCTGTAATGGGTGCCATGGCAGCATGTAGTGCATCAGTTCAGAAGGTGAGGAGCCATAAGGATCACTGCTTTGGCTGACCCAAGTATTCAGTGGCAAAAACGGAGCTGGGGGACATTTCTCGCAGGTGAAAGCAGCAGTCTAAAGGCCCAGTATGTTGCAATCCCATGCATGTTTTCTCAAAAAGAAATTCTGTGCTGCTCAGGGGGTTGCTCCCAGGTGAGGGTACATAGCCGTCTTTCCCATCCTGGCCAATAGGTGAAGATCAATTGGTCAAGAAGGATGGGGCTCACAGTTCAAAACATCTGGAGAGGATCAAGTTGCAGAAGGATGGTCTACAGGATGGGAGTCCTAGTCAATATGGGCTATGGGAACTGCTCAGAGGACAGAGAAAGAGGGCAGCAATAAAAAAGAAAGAAACCGAAGGTGGGAGGAGAAAAGAAGAGAAAAGGAGAGAGAGAAAGAGAGAGAGAAGAGGAGGAGAAAGAAAAGAGACTTAAAATTGTAGGGAACTCTAATGAGATCTCCTGAGAGATGTTGTCTTACTAGAATAAATTAATACATTGAATTCTTGTGCCCCTGAGGAAGGTTTCCACTGAAATGCATTGGACAATTTACTATTTCATTCATGTGCCACATATGCTCATTATCATTTTGAAGCTTGCTTCTCTCGCGAGTGTGTGTGTGTGTGTGTGTGTGTGTGTGTGTGTGACAGACAGAGAGAGAGAGAGAGAGAGAGAGAGAGAGAGAGAGAGAGAGAGAGAGAATTGGTCACTGGGTTCATTTATTTCCAATGACCTCAGAGTGGAACAGAGGATCCTTTCCCCAATTTAATTCTCGCAGCACCCCTGCAATACAGTTTAGACTGTGTCCTCATGAGTTCTGAGGATCATGAAGGTTCTCAGCCCATCCAGTCAGCTTGATACTGAGAAGGGCATGACACCCAGTCTTCCCCAGTGCCAACCTAATACATTGTTCCGTATTCTCCAACCTGGTGCCCTCCAAATGTGCTGGCCTGCAACTCCCATCATTCCCAGTCATTGGCCATGCTGGGTGAGGGAAATGGTGCTTATACATCTTAAGGCTGAGGCAGGCAGCACCACTTTGACCATCAAGACATCTTTCCTCACTTGGAAACAAAATGATGGAACCGAAAGCCTTCCAAAGACTCAGGGCTCCTGCAGTGGACCTTGTAACATGTGGAAGTATTTGGCATTCGCACCAGAACAGAGTGAAGCCCAGGCCCAGGCGGATGTCAAGAGAATGTGGAAGCCCATGAGGAGGAGCAACTACCAAGCAAGTTTTTTCTATGTGCCCTCAGATGCAAGTGCAACTACATCCACCTCCAGCCAAGAAGAAAATCACACCAGGGTTTATACTTGGCCTGCTTCGCCTGTTTGTCTAGCTACACACACACTGACCATCTGTCAGTCTGTCTGTCCATCCTCTCACACAACCTTGCAATTGCTTACAGAAGCATGTGTGCACATGAGCGTGTTACATGGGATTCAGCCCCTGAAGGCCTGTGCCGCTCGTCACCTCGCAGGATCAATTGCCGGGCGGGCAGTGGGGCCGCAGGGTGGTGGCTGGCCAGGGCTTGCCTCAGGCATCCCAAAGATTGCCAGCGCTCATTATTTCAACGAAATGCAGGATGTGAAAAGCAGGGAAAGGAACACAATCTAGTCTTCTGGAAACATGAGACCAATATTCCAATATTAATAAGGATTTCTATTAACAATTGTATAATAAAAAGTGATCCTTGAGCATAATGGCTTCCTCTGATGGCAAGAAATCTGCATCCAATTTCTGAACTGCTTCATGAATTTTGGAGTCTCTGAAAATGAGTTGGTGTAGTGCATCATGCCTTCAGGACAAGAAAGGTATTCAAATGATGCGTTCTCTTTCTCTCCCTCTCTCTAATCCAAGGAAAACATTCTTTCTGGGACCAGGTCAAATTCCCTGGTATTGGTTTGTTCAATTCATAACCTCCCTAAGAGAGACTGCAGTCTCCTAAGACAGCCAAACATATTTAGGATTATTCCCTATATAGCCATAGGTGGTCCAAGACAAGGCTTTTATTGTGCGATTCTACTGCTTAAGTCACTGAATATTACAGGGTGTCCAGATGCGAAAGTGTATCATCTGCCATTCCATGTTTTCCCCTTGCTTCCTCCTCCTTTCTGCTTACCTTGGGGGAGAAGTTGAAGGACCACAAGGTGGAATACTTTATGATGCCTTTGTTTTTTTTTAATACTAGAAGTCTTCTGCCCTGCAACACACCCTTTCTGGCATCAGTGGATCTAAAGGACCATCGAATTTTAAAGAGAACTGCATTGTGGTGGGCTCATGCCTAGTTTTGCCTAGACCTTGACAAAGGAGTGAGAGACCCTCTTCCCAGCAGTTCCCTACACTACCAGGAGCGCTGAGAATCTTTCAGACCCAGAGATCCATCATGCAGGTTTGGACATTCCTGCACCCATTACCCTGGGTCCCTAGTTAGTTCCTAGACCACAAGTCCCCTAGGAACGGAGGAAAAATGGAGGAGATTTTCAGCCAAGCAGGAGCTTCCAGGCTATAGCCAAAGTGCCTGGTTAACCAAACATGGATCTATTCAGGGGAAGAGCAAGGGGAAAACTCATTTAAGCATCTGTCTGGATATACAAGCTGAATCACTGCTAAACCCAGCTCCATTGGAGCTACAAGCTCCAGTGCCATCTACTGTGAGCTGGGCAAAGCCTGAAAGAAGCAGCATTGTAACCAATCCTGTAGAAACTTTCCCTTGATCTGGAAGACCTTTGTAACATTAAGCCAGTAGCAAATGCTCCTTTCCCGGACACAGCTCTAGAATGGGTGGCTGACAACCAGCAATAAGCACTCTTGGATGAGACAGACAATCTGAATGCATTTCAGTCCAGGCTCAGCCCTGGTTTTGCCAGGGAAACAGTTTTAGTAACCCTGTATGATGACCTATGGCAGGACAGAGACAGGGGGAATGTGACCTTGTAGATATTCCTGCATGTCTTAGTGACTTTCAGTACCAACAACCTGGGTATCCTTCCAGGACAACTCTCTGTGTTAGGAATGGGGGTACTATGACTGCAGAGGTTCTACTCCAACTTGGAGGGCCATTTCCAGAGAGCATTGCTTGAGGAGTATTGCTCATCCCCTTGGAATTGCCAGCATGGAGTTCCTCAAGGGGCTGTTCTGTCCTCCATGCTATTTAACATCTCCATGGACTACAATGCCATCAATATGCTGATGACATGCAGCCTTGTTTTTTCCTTTTCACTGTTAGCAGGTGAGGCTGTGGATGTGCCAAACTGACCCAGGCTGCAATAATGCATTGAATGAGCTTCACTAAATAAAGCTCAAGACAGAGAAGACTGAGATGCTGTTGGTGGATGCTTCCTTTGGCTGGACTGAGGATGTTCAATCTGTTTGGATGGGGTTGCATGCCCCCTGAAGGAGCAGGTTCAAAGTTGTGGGGAGTGTTCTCCATCTTTGGCACTTGATTTTCAGGGGCATGGAGGGTCTTCTACATGCTTCGATTGGTGGGCCAGCAATGCCTTTATCTGGACAGGGATGGCCTGGTTTCAGTAATCTACACTCCTGGGGATTACTGCAATCTAAGTTGGATTACTGCAATGCAATGCACTTTTTGCGGGGCTGCCCTTGGCTACTGGTCAAAAGCTGCTTTTGGGCAAAATGATGTAGGCAGATTAATAGCTGGGATATCAGTAAGATATACTTGGACATCTGGAGCTTCAGGAGACTACACTTCCTGGGTGTTTTTGTAGTTTAACTGTTTTAGGTATTTCGTTTTCAAATGTTTGTATTTTGAAAAGATTTTGCTCACATTTTACTGTACTGTTTTAAGGAAGAGTTGTAAGCAGCCCATTGATCTTTGGCTATTTCATTTTTATTTCATTTGAAATTAAATAAGAAAACAAAACTTTTCACCATCTATAATTTAATATCTATAAGGTCTATAATTTTGAGGGCTCCTCTACCTTGTGCAGTTATCACGAAGGAGCATGATCTTTGCTTCACCTAGTGCGCACGCCTTTCCCTCTTCTAGATAAGTTAGACAGTCTCCCAGAATAAGTTCTGAAGTCCTATATTTATAGTTCAAATTGCACAGGCCCAGACTGTGCAGATTTTTATAAGGGCTAATGAATGACCTCTAGACCAATGAAGTATATCAGGCCTTTTCCACTGGCTGCACGTCCTTTGTTTAACCTCGTTTGTTTAATTTGGTGGTTTCCTAGCTTCTATGAAGTTTAACAACTCATTCTATAAGGCTGAATGGCCACCTGTAAAGCCTAGTTACTCTTATAGTAGCTTTAAGGTACAGTGTAATTTTTTTTGGAGGGGGGTCCCCTATCCTTATTGCTTTTGACCCCACACCATTGGGATTGTGGGGCCTCTGAAACTGAATTGTGTCTCAGATTTGCCACTCTAATCTAGTTCAACATCTTGTTAACTCTGTGGAAACAAATGACAATTTTCTCCATCTACCAACTGGTTGGAAATTTCCCAGCTTTTGCAGTTTCCCCCATTCCAAAAAGTTGAAATGTCTCTCTGAATGCTTCATTAGTGGCAGCAAGAACTTTAAGCTAAAATATTTAAATATTATTGGTGTTCTGGTCCTGTCCCATTTTGGCTTTGGCTCCTCAACCACTGGAATGAGCACCCCCCTCTCCCCCCGCACACACACACCAAGAGCTTCTTCAAAATAGAAGTTGGCTAATCAGGCTAAAATAGGTCCTGATCTGGCCCTGATTTGTTATGTCAGCTACGCCATGAATCTTCTGGTGAGGACAGGAAGATGGGGACATCTTTTCACTGAATTGGCACCTCTGGACAAGAGATTGGCGATGGCAAGAACTCCAGAATAGCTGCCCCACTCCCCCCTTGAACCTCTGCTTTCACTTCTGAACAACTGAAAGCATCCAGTTAGTCCATGAGAGGAGCAAAGACTCAGAACCATGGGATGCATTGGTAACAGTTGAAGAATTCTGAAGTGAGATATCTGCAGTGCATGTCACTACTACTGAGCATCTGCTTAAAAGATAAGAAGGGCTGCTTCTCTTTAGGAGATATAGTTGCTGCTTGCAGTGCTGACATAAGGCAAGATATGAAACCAACACGTTTAATATTAACTAGCAAAAATGGCTAAGCCTCCAGGATGATTGGTATGATAGTGATGTTTGAACGTGTTTTTCATTAAGGTCTCTGTTAAATTCTTTTTAATGGGATGATGAATTTTTAAATCTTAAAGAAAAATTTAGTAAAAAGCCGGAGAACCAAGAATTAGAACTGATAAAATAAGTTATTGCTTTGATCCTCTGATCACCCTTTCCTGATGCATATGAGTTGTATCTTAGGAACTGGAATAGAAATCACAAACTATCCTTCGTATCTTTCTGCTGAAGTCATTGAAATAAAAATGGGAAGGGCCACTTACTCCATCCAAATAGATTTCACCAACAGGTGCTGCAAGTTGACAGCAAGAGAAATGATCATTAATGCAGTTATGACAGATGCAGTGAGTAACTCTTTTCTCAATAATTGGAGTCTGAAGTACGGTGGCAAGTAAAGAGAAACATGAACCTCCAAGAGAAGATGGCGCATGGCCCAGCATGATGGAAGGGATCCCAAGCACTTAGGAGTATCTGTTTTAAGACAGCAGCCTTAAAGGAAAGTGAGAAGGAATCGGCTTGGCCTCAGGATCGGCAATGAGGTGCTGATACTACCCGTGCAGCCAACAGCTCTTTCAGCAGGATATGGCAGATGGTCTTTGGCAGGACTCTAACCTGTGCTATGGCGTAATCAGAGGAGTTGGTTGCCTGCATGCCTTCATTGCCGCTGATCCCCACTCCAACGTGAGCTGTCTGGATCATTCCCACATCATTGGCACCGTCCCCAATGGCCAGGGTGATGGCATTCACATGCTTCTTGACCATGTCTACTATTTCAGACTTCTGCAGGGGAGACACCCTGGGAAGAAGAAGCGATGAAAAAATGTCGGTCATTTTCCCACATGTTAAACTATGTATGACTTGCAAAAAGGACAGCTGTAATCTAGATTTAGACACATAAAAAGGGCAGTTACTGGAAAGTTTCCTAATCCAACACTTCAGGCTTTAGAATGCATGCCAAATCATCCCTTCTGTCCAACGGACGCACATGAATGCACACACTGCTAGAAAGAGAATATTGTGCTATTCCTTCCTTCGAAGTAAACCGTAGAAGCAAACAGTGCTCAGTAGATATTAAGACCTTTGGAACCATTTCAGATGTGTGTGTTTGTGTGTCTGCATATACACACATGTGCACAGATGGACAAAAAATATAATGCTCATCAGAATTACCAGACTGAAATCTTTTGGTATCTGAAGGCCAGTTTTAATGCTCAGAGTATATGACAATGCTAAAGCTTCCGCAGTTGCCACAGTGAAGGTTCTCAAGCCATAAGATAGTTTAGATTTCACTGTATATTATTCATTCCAGAGGTTCTCAACCAGTGGGATGCATATCCCACCAGTGGGATACAAAAGCTATATAGGTGAGATGTGAGGTTCAAACTACAATTAATTGTATATATGTGTGCATATGGTCTGGGGTTATGTGTGAGTAAAGTCTGGTCTGTGTGTGTATAGTCTGGGGTTGTTTGCATGCATGTGTCTGTCCTGGTCTTAGATTTGTGTGTAGAATTTGGGTTTGAGTGTGTGTGTGTATGTGTGGGGCCTGGTCTGGCATTTGTGCATGTGTGTTCCTAAGGATACTCTTCTGCGTGGCTCTGAGAAATATGAGGCCCCATTTAAATCATTATAATTGTTGTTGTTATGTGTGAGTGTGTGTGTGTTGTTTTAGGTGTTGCACATGTAAGGAAGAAAAAGTCTGTGTGGTTTGCAAAGGGTTTCTGCAAGCTTACCAAGGGATCTACTCAGCATTATCATTATAACATGTCAAGGGATGCTCATGCTTATCCTTGGGCAATCTATTCCTTACTTCTTGCAAGATATCATAATCTGGAATTTTGTATTGTGCTGCTTCTTGGTTGGCCTTCTCCAGCAGATTCCTTACGGATGTACAAAGGCGTGGATTTTTGGATGTTTTCAAAACTTGTTTCTTTGTTCCACAGACTGCGTCTCTGTGTGGCTCTAAAAATACCACACCTTATTTTAATAATCATCATCATTGTTATTATTTCTATGTGGTGTCTTTTTTCCCACCCATCATTTTAGAGTCTTCTGATTCTCTGTAAAATGGGAACAGTTGCTCAGTCCACAGAGCACTTTTGTGTGGCTGTGTGATTTCATCATCCCTATTACATGTTTTCTTCTCTTTCTTTCTTTTTCTATGATATGGGTGACTGCCTGTTGAGGATTCTAAGACTGCTCTGCCTCTCAGGACCCTCTTGGCTCCACCTTTGCTGATCTGTCCTCTGCCCCATCACTGGCCGTGAGTGTCTCCTGCTGTTGACCCTACACATCAAAGATCATCCAATTGTGATCTTTTGCATGCCATTAGTAAACTTTTTAACTACTAATGTAATTACGTTTGCTTGTGTTTCAGTCATAGAAGTAACATTATTCTTGACAACACTACTTTTTATTATCTTTGTGTTTATAGTTTCTGTAGCAGCAAAATTTATACTCACCAATACCTTTACAATTTTAACTACTAATGAAATGATTATGTTTATTTGTGTTCTAAAGCCTTAGCAATGTCATTTACTCCAATTGATTTACTGCCACTGCAATTTTGTATGTCCTTAAAACCTATGATAAACAATACACATAACAGGATGTTTATACAAATTCTTGCAAAGAAGAGTATTGCAATTGCAATACATATACAGTACATGCAATTCTTAAAAACAATGGGATTTTTGTGTCTGTCTGTGGAACCCAGCTTTGCTTGATAGAGGGATGAGTAAGATATAAGACTGGAAAGGTAGAGAACCACTGCTATGTTCTATTCAAACTTCCTGGAAGGCTTTAGGGAATTATTGCCCAGTTACTAAAATGTATGACAATAGATGCTTCTGCTGTACAACCCACATGAGGGTGCCATGTTGAAAATCAAAAGAAGTATCCTTTTAACAGATTTTAAAGGGAGACGTTTCTTGAAGCATAGTTCTTACCTTGATACAAGAACCAGGACCAAGTTGGAAGGGTGCTGTTCATGTGCGTACATAGAGGAATGGCTGCCCTTCCTGCTGCTCTGTTACCTCTCCCTCTACCAAAGCAACAGAACAATACCCAAAAAGGTATTGTTCTATTGTCAAGTGCTGTTAAGAACATCTATAGAAATAGCATTAAACTCTCTGTACAATGCAGTGCTTAAACCAGGCCTTAAATCCGAGGTACAGCCAGGGCCAGGGCTGGCATCAACAGGAAGCTTGAATGGCCACCTGCCAAAGTTCTACCAGAGGCTGGAAAGCGCCCGCAGTCCCTCCTCCTCACTACCCCCCACTTGCAGTTTCACTCGTCTTTGGCTCAAATTACAGTGGCGGCGGTGAAAGGGAGAAGCAGGAAACATCGCTACCTACACTGACTCTCTGCTTGCCAACCAAGCAAGTAGTAGCAATCATAAGAGAGGATACTGGGCAATAGCAGCTGTTGACACTGGCAATGCGATGCTTTCTTGTTCAAGGGGCTGCAAAGCCTGGAGTCAGAACTAGACCCAGCACATGCTTTGCATGTAGAAGATCTTGGGACTTCTGGGAGCAAGACCACTGCCAGTCATCAGAACAGTTATAACAATAAGTGAACTGGCCTAATGGTACCCATTCTGGTTGGGTAGGATGGGAACTGTAGTCCAATAGCTCTGGAGGGCACTGGTTTGGGGAAGGCTGTCTTAAAGTTCTGAATCTGCATGTTTTCCTCATTAGCAAGGTGCAGTTTCCCAAAGTACTCTGGATGTACATTTAATTATTTGGGGAGTTCTATCATCAATCATCATGAGCTGACTTTCATCTTTGGAAAGGTTTTTATACAGAAGTCAAGGCTAGAGGTTGCAGAGCACAGGCTAGGCACTGCAAAGATCCATTTAATCTTGGTATCTTTGCACACGGAATTCTCATTGGGCAGGTTATTAAACCCTCATTCTAAAAGCCTGAAAAATAATTTGACCCAACCTTACTGCAAAACAAAAACAAATTATATCCCTTGTTACGAATAATCATACTGAAATGTCAATTTATCATTCAGAATAAGGCAACGCTGAAGCTCATTAATGTTAAATTCTAATGTTATGTGTTCTGATGACTTAAAATACTGCCAAAAATATGGTCTAGCTTCATCCCTCATTGCAACCCATAAAGTAAAAACTCCAGACAGTTGGAGCCAAAACAGGGGCTTTGCATATACTGAGCGAAACCATTATGTGCCTAAGGTGTTATTTATATCTGCCAAGCCAACTACCTTTTACCTACATCAGCAGTAGTCATTATTTCATAATAAAACAAATTCTTTGTTGCACCTTTTTGATAACCTAAAGCAAATTTCATATGTTTAAGAAATTAGTAAGCAATCTTATTCATGTTCATATTTTAGTATCTTCAATCCATGTGTATGGGGAGGGGAGAAATGCTAAAGAATCAGTATGTGTATGGGAGGGGGGGAAATGCTGAAGGATCAGTTTATTAAAAGAACCATTTTAACAGGAGTGAGCAATTTGTTTCCCACTGAGTTTTGCCATCATGCATTCAAAGTTATCTCTGTAGCCATGAGTTCTGAAAAGTTACAGGGCTGGGAATTAATGTGAACTAGAGCCTGCAGGCTGAAGAAACTAGTATTGGCAGCCATGTAAAGCCGACAGGTGACAAGCTATCCATATCTGGGTGAAAATGAAAACAAACTGGATTATTATTTTGGCTATTAAGCCCAGGGCTCAAATCTGTTTGCACAAAACTGAGCATGGGGTTTGGGGAGACTGGAAAGCATTGTTATTTCCCAGCAGGCTACAAGCACACATTCTCCCAACTAGGATTAAAGTTTAGTGAGGAAGTTACTTTTCGGAACAAAGGTGGCTGTGAACGCCGTCCTTGCAGTTCCTTCTCAGGAAACATCAAATTTCATGCAACTGGTAAGAGGCCCTAGTTCAAGAGCACAGCTCATGCTATTTGCCTGCCGAAAGGGGCCATGTTCAATATCTGGCACTGCCAATTAAAAGGATCAGGCACAGGGGGCACACGATGGAGAAAGAAAGTTGTGGGGGCACCCTGTTTCTGCCTGAGGCTGCAGAGAGCCTCTGCCAGTCAGAAGAGAAAACACTAGGCTGGTTGGACAAATGGTATGACCTGATAAACGAGAACTTCCTATGCTCTGTATGCCTAGGTCAAGTTTATTTACACTGAGCTCACAATTACAAGAAACTCCAATGGATATGCTAGATCCTCTGCAAAGACAGGGAGAGAGCAGCAAAACATCATTTTCATCATATTTATGGGTTATATTCAGACAGGAACTTGAAGGTCTTTGGTTGCAGGTAACATATCTGAATGAATGAAGTAGTAACAGATTTTATTTTCTTGGGCTCCAAGATCACCACAGATGGTGACTGCAGCCAAGAAATTAGAAGATGCTTGCTCCTTGGGAGGAAAGCAATGGCAAATCTAGGCAGCATACTAAAAATCAGACAAAAGTTTTTATAGTCAAAACTATGGTTTTCCCAGTTGTAATGTACGGCTGTGAGAGCTGGACCATAAGGATGGCTGAGTGCCGAAGAACTGATGCTTTTGAATTGTGGTGTTGGAGGAGACTCCTGCGAGTCCCTTGGACTGTAAAGAAATCAAATAAGTCACGCTCTGGAGTAGGACAGATCCCACTCTTTGTATATGCAGAGGACTCTGAAAGGAAGAGGTACATCTCAGCAAGAAGACAAAATGGCTCAACTGGAAGAAAGATGCAGGAGCAAGACTGTACATCTTTTCTGTGCCAGACATCCTGGTGGGGGCCAGATGGATGACTACTCAAAATTCATTTACT